AACTTGACAGCATATTTTGTACATTGGCCGGCCAATGCGCGCATTGGCCGGGATGTCCTGGCCAATGTTCTATCTAGACTAAGTTGTGATCGCGTTTTCATTATTCTGGGTGCGGTTTCATTGTGAGTAACGTATTGTTTAGCTCTTGTTTGTATAGCATTCTATATGCAAGGTTACATGGATCAAAAGGGCCGTCAGACCATGAGACAGACATAGCAGATGGCTGTCAAAAGAAAAAATGTAAATCCATGTTAGTTTCCATATATGGGCTACAACTTTATGTGACAGCCTCCTCCATGATGACGAGGTGAGAAAATCATCAAAGAACAAAATCAAAGACAGTCGGCGTCACCGACGGAACGTTCAAAAGACTTTGCCGCGTTCCTTGTAAGTTGAACAATAGTGTCCAAGCTACTTGAGATGGCGTGGGCGTCAGAAACCATATTTCCCCAACAAAAGGGGAATACCAAAGAAAGCAGACCCAACACCGTGCCTTGACTGGACTGAATGATAAATACCGACAGAATTGCATTCCAGATTTCTTTGCACAGCGGATTACTTGACTGTTTAACACTACGTTTGCTTGATTGTGGAGTCATTTGTGAATCAAGTTATTTTTTAACTAAAGAACATGTGGCCTGAACTTAACTAGTTCACGGAAAACCAAGACATAGCCAAAGCTAAGATTCAGTCGAACGTGCCAACCAAGATGTTCAGAACATGATGATGACATGGATGCAAACAAATGAATCAGCTCATTGGGCTGAGAGTCTCAAATTCATTCAATTTATTAAAAAATCGTTCTTTTCATCAAGGAATCCAACAATCACCATACGAAGCCTTGTTTGGATGCAAAGCAAAAGTGGGACTTAGCACTTCTATTCTACCAAGAGAGGCTCTCAATAAAATAGTTACTGAGGAAGATCTTGAGAACATTGAACAAGAAATGGAGGTTGCCATAAATGCAACTACATCCTCAGCTAACACATCTACTGCCGTAGCGGAACGTCCAGACCAGTTGCGTGACAATAATGTGGCCAACAGATTCTGTATAGTTTGTGAAAAACATTGTAGTGCAGCTCAATCTTGTGGATCCTGTGGCAAAGATGTCCATGCTATTTGTGGAGTACCCAATGAAGCAGACGAAGGGTACGGAGGGAACATTACCTGCAGATTGTGTCACAATAAACAAGACATCATGGAACACAGGTCAGCAGCTCATACTGGCTTTCAAAATCAAGGTGCTAAGATGCTTAAAACATCAAATACAAAATTTAAAGATGGTGAAGTGGGTGACAATGTACGCATCCGTGTTCCAGATGTTGACAGAGGTCGCGGTGATCCCCGAAGCGTGATTGCAGTTGTCATGAGCGTCGAGGGCGGTTTTTACAAATTAGGAACGGAACATGGTGTTCTAAAACAACTGTATGCTAGAAGTGAGTTTTCAATTCTTCACGAAAAACTGCTCTTATTGTCGTCAGTTGGCACTGAGGAAAAATCACTACGAACCATCGCATCTTCACAATCATTGAATGGGGGCCAAGGCTACACTCGCTGCAATTGCACAACCAAGTGCACAACAAATCGCTGCAAGTGTAAAAATAACAAGCTGCTATGTAATTCTAAATGCCATAAAAGTTCAACTTGTTGTAACAAATGATAATATTGATTGATTGAGACTATAGTACAATAAAAAATTTGAATGTTTCTGTCATTTACTTTAATTAATAATCAATAAAGACTTAATTTCATGATCCTACCGGCATAAAAAAAAAAAAATCTGCTCATGATCTTCTATTTAAGAAGCAAAGTTTCGGACTTTGACCGACCTATGGGAGGCGATATTGGCCAATGCGCGGATTGGCCGGCCAATCCTAGCATTGGCCGACTTCGGGCTTTGACCGTAACATATATATATATATATATATATATATATATATATATATATATATATATATATATATATATATATATATATATATATATATATATATATACGAGCCGACCCGCAGCGTATCATACGCCGCTATTTAGTTGTTTTTATTTCTACTTTTCAGTAATTCATAATTTGTGAATTCGACAGTACCAATGCTGCCACTGAAAATATTTGCTTTAAAACACTAACCCCCCTCCCCTTTTCCCCTAACCCCTAACCCCGACCCTACACCCCCCCCCCCCCCCCCCCCCCCCGTGAAAGCAGCCTCCTCTTAGTTATTTCTTAGTTACCTCCTGTAAGTTTAAAATCGAACTAAATTATCTGCCCCTAATAGAAACCCGGCTCTAAGGCTCTACGATTTGTAAACATTTAGCGTGACCACAGCTCACCAGACAATGTGGGGGTGGGGTGGGGGTGGGGTGGGGGTGATAGTGATAGTGATATAGAGAAAGAGAGGGGACTGCAAGAAGGCGCTTGCAGCTTGTTTTCTAACGGCTCCCAGAAGAGAATTATATATATAGATATAGATAGATAGATTAGCGTTGCTCTCATTTGAGGGGACAGCGTGATCCAGGGAAGAGGAGGGGGGTATGGAGCACACGTGAGTACTATCCCAAAAGCCCCGTGTTTAGAGATGTGGCTATTGGGATGGACATTGAAGCCTATCACATGTCACACTGTGTTGTAAATAGATATAAGATGGTAATACTAGTTCATGCTCGTTCTTAATTTTAGTGTTGGAAGTCATCCCCACAGCCTTCCAGCCAAAACCAAACTACAAGGCAAGAAAAGTGCCTGTCCCCAGCTAACGAGTCTCAGCTGCCCGAGGGTTTGAACTCGAGACTTTTTAGATTAGCAATCATGCGCTTTACCGACTCGACCACTATTTAATACAAGTGTTTATTTGATTAAAATAGCGATCTAGAATTGTTTTTTTTAAATCTCATATAATTTGCTTCTATGATTGCAGTACCAAAAAAAAATTGATTTATGACATGTAAACTAAATTTAGTCCGGCGACAGCAGATATTTGTTCTCGGAGGGGGGGGGGGGAGGTGTTACTCTGCTTTTAAAACTTTTTGGAGGTGGGGCGGGGAGGGGGGGGCTCAACTTAACCTCATTTGCACTGACAGCCGCGTATTACATCCTTAAAGATTTGTGTACTCACACAAGCAGAGAGCGTCCATTGTTTCAAATGCTACATTTTTATTTTTGCAAAATAAAAGTAGGCTCTAGTTGTTCGTATTCTGCAATATAAAGATTCCCGTTTTGGTAGCAATTTTATGATTCCAAGTGCGTTTTTTTCTTCTTAAAAATAATGAAGGAAAACAATGTTTCATAAATCGAATTTCAAGACTTATTTACTTTAAAACATTTGGGGCTTAGCGACCCGTGGAATTTATCGAGGTTGGTTAAATGCTTATTACTGTCGTCCTCCCCCTACTCCTCCCCCCCTCCGCCCACGCCACGCTCGGAGACAAGCCTAAAAGAAATGCTTCAGAACAATTCCCTGCACAAGTAGATAGCATCAGCTGACACGTATTTTGTTTCTGTTGTGTAGGAAATCCACCAAGTTGAATGAGATGCATCAGATCATTATCGTTCACATGATAACAGTTTGTGTTTAGTAAGTTTTCTTTTTGTAGTTAAATTAAAGAAAAAAACATCAACTAAAAAAATTTCAACATGAAAATAATTTTTTAAAAGGCATGAGGAGGAGAGGCAGACCAAGAAAGACCTAGAGACGTGACCTGGAAGAAAACACCAAGAAGAGTGGATACACCTGGGGACAGTTGGAGAGACTAGCCCTGGACAGAGACGCCTGGAAAGCTCTTGTCAGCGGCCTATGTCCCAGAAGAAGGCCTACCTGAGAATAATTTGTTACACTAAAGGCACTATATTTATTTAACATTTTTATACACCCGAAAATTTCACTTTATTAAGATACACTAGCTTTATCATACGGTTTGTACCTATGTCCATAAACATAATGTTATAATAAAAACTCTGCCAGTGGATAATTTAGATTTTGCTTTTAATACTTATTTATACCTTTTTGAGAACATTTCAATACAAATTACAAAAACCCAAATTGTTGTATTTTATATAAAAAGTTATTACCGAAAATACACAAAAAATGAAATGAAACAATTCCAATCTTTAGTAAAATAAAAACCACAGAATCGAGATTCAACCACATATTGTTTTAGAATATTGGCACATATTTTTAAAAAACACTTAAGTAACTAGTGGTAATAAACCTGTACATTGTTAAAAAAAAGATTCTTAACAATTAGAATAAAAGTAACAGAAAAGAGCTACTGGTGTAACATTATTGTATCATATTTAATATATCTCGCTAAGGTTCAATAACGTTCAAATGTATAGTAATTTATAAAACATGAAATAAAATAAATATTTGTGCCAATACAATTTTTAATTTCCCTAATGTACTAATCCGTCCATGCCAATAGTATGTTATCTTTTATTTCTGGCAGTGAACGTGTATTTAGTTCTAGAGTGTTTTATGTTATACCGAAAAACAACGAGAAAAACAATTTTAATTTATATAATTGTTTATACAACCAAACCGCGGACTAAAAGCATAAAACCCATGAAAATATTACCGAACACAGCTATGAATATGTTTTCATTTTGTCAGTGGAAACAACTACAGTTTAAAAAAATTAATACATATATTTTAATAAGGGAAGTTACCGTTTTTGTTAATAATCTTCTCAACGATTACCTCGCTTTTAATTGAACAACTGGTTACAAATGACACAAATAATTTAATATAATACACGAACTCTCACACAGAAACACACATATATATATATATATATATATATATATATATATATAAATTTATATATATATATATATATATATTTGTGTATATGTAAGTATATATATATATATGTATATAAATGTATATAATATACATATTATATATATATATATATATATATATATATATATATATATATATATATATATATATATATATATATACGTAATTTTAAATTCTCTAAGGATTTTCAAACTGTAGCCAACGTGCAATTCATATTAATTTGTTGAAACTGGAGATTTCAATGCCATTAACATGCATATCACTTGGACCAATCTCAGGCAGTGTATGGTTATATTTAGCCAACAGAAGCAGAGCCTCCTGCAGAGCGTTGCTACCGTTTGTGACTAGAACTGTGTTCTCTAGACCCTCAGTCCAGGTTTGATCAAAAGACGAGAGTTTATAAAACGGGGGGTTGTCAATCAGCACGTGCGGGATGTCCATTAGCACAGACAGGATGTGGCCATGGAGACGGTCAGTTATGACAATTCTGCCACGTTGTAAAAAGCTGAAACCTGCATGGGCTATATTGAATGCGTTGTCCAGGTCTGTTTTTCCTTCGTTTGAAGGCCAAGCACTTCTCCAATCCGATATGTGAATAGAAACTCCTCTTGGAAATGAAGGGATTTCGTATTTTGAAGACTCACGATCATTTCTTCTCAGCCAAACGATGTCGAAGTATGGAGGCAAAATGCGTGGAACGTGTCCAATACCAAAAGCCATGTCTGGTGCTAGAAACAGTTTCACATCTTTAAAATTTTCTTGTGCAATAGCAAGAGACTGCTTATCTCGTAAGAAAATTGATAAATTGGATCTATTTGAGTATACCTGGCTACAAAACTCTAAATGTTCAGTGTAATTATCGTGTAACCATATGCTCTGAGACAGAAGGACAATTTTATGCTCGGGGAAAGTATTAAGAATTTTTTCCCGTAATACATCAATTGAATCATATCCGACGAGATTACCCCCACCGTGTAATAAAATAGCGATCTCGTTGACAGAGAATTTTTTACTTATTGAAATAGCTCTTTCCAAATATCGATCTTGAGCACAGTCGTAGGTTTCACAATAAAATAAAATTCGTTTCCGAAGTTTTTTGATAATCATCACCTCGCCGACAGTTATGGCTGAGTCTCCTTTATTTTTGTGACTAGGGATATCCATTAACATAACATACGGGGTTTTGCCTAGAATATTACTCAACAAGTTCAACAGAATTCTTTGGTTCTCTTCAATGACTTGGTATGTTTGTGTCATTCTTTTAACATCCTCGTTGGTCTCGAATGGGTCCTTAAAATAATTCAGAGTTGAAAAATCAATGATATTTTCATTCGCTTTGGTCTGTGTGTTGAGATTCCAATTTCCGTTAATGCTTGTATTTTGCCTTATCAATGTTGTATCGTTATTGCGCTCATTTAATAAAATACCGCCGATTATGATGCACGAAAATGTGACAACAATTCCAAGTAGCACTGAAATAAGGAGAAATGAATGCATCTTTAGATTAACTGTTCATAAAAATAACTAATTATCAAAATGTTTTTATAGGCTACTTGTTTTTTTTAAAATATAGTTTAATTGGTTACGCCTAGTCAGAGCTCCTAAATTCACGAAGATTTACATATATGTAAGAGTGTTGATGTAAAGGGTATGAAAGGTTCTATGTGGAACTAAGTAGTGTAAATAGTATGTGTACCTGGTGGGGTTTGTATATGTTTAAGTTGTGCGACGGTGGGGAGGGGGGGGGGGAGGTTAAAAAGAGAAGCAACATGTTGAGTGACAGCGGGTGTGTTGTGAGTGCAGATAGTAAACGGAGCAGGTAACAGTGTTTTTATGGCATTCGGTGGTTGTGTGGGTCAGTCAGTTTTTGTGTGTGTCAGTTGGTGGTTGTGTGTGTCAGTCAGTTATTGGTGGTGTGTGTCAGTCACTGGTTGTGTGTGTCAGTCACTGGTTGTGTGTGTCAGTCACTGGTTGTGTGTGTCAGTCACTGGTTGTGTGTGTCAGTCACTGGTTGTGTGTGTGTGTCAGTTGGTGGTGGTGTGTGTCAGTTGGTGGTTGTGTGTGTCTGTCAGTTATTGGTGGTGTGTGTCAGTCAGTGGTTGTGTGTGTCACTCGTTGTGCTTGTAGATGATTGGATAAGACATAGGAACAAAGAGAGAAGTTAAAGTGTTGCTATTGAAACTGTTTCAGTCGAATGACTTTTCTTCTAGTCTCCTGTTGCTTAAACCCGTTAACCACGCCCTCAGATATTTAGTAGAGAAACATGAACAACATGAAATTATTTTATTCGCGCGCGGTCGTTCGTTGTGATTCGGACTTAGCTTTCTAATGAGCAAACGTCTACAATGAATCAGACGTAGGGTTCATTATCTAGAGCATCAATGTTAAAATGTCTATCTTGTTGCGGCTGTAAGCTGACACATTTACTGTGTTTTGATTATGGTCTTTAGCTTTGCAAAGTTTTGTTTTAATACAAAGCTTTTATTTAACTCACTTCCTCTGTCGTCAGTCGTCCGTCAAGATCGAAACGCCCGAGCGAAATTTCGGACACTTCTAACTTACAGATACGGTTCATAGTTGGAAAGTGGGTCAAGACATGAAGACAATGCATTGTGACATTTAATTTGACTTAATTGGATGCCAAATTAATTTTTTATGAATTAATTAAAATTTTGACCAAATTAGTAGGCAGTTCTACTCCACACGCGTCATCACGTTCTATAGCGCGTCATAACGTTCAATAGGCGCACAATAGTTTTTAGTCATGTAACTCTATTGTAAATAAAACATGTAAAGTACTGAAAAAAATTCATAAAATAACGTTTTAATAACAAGCTTTTATGTAATACAGCACTAAAAAGTAGAAAATATTTTATACACTATTATTTCAATAACTATAAAGAAAAGCGTGAGTCTCAAATATTAGTAAAGGTATCCAATAGATACTTAAGTGGCCCACGCTTTTGTTTATAGTTATTTAAATAGCTGTGTACAATTTATTTTCTACTTTTTAGTGCATTATTACATAAAAGCTTGATATTAAAAAGTTTTTCTATGATTTTTTTTTTTTTTGTAATTATACAATTGGCTAAACAAAGAACAAAACAAAACTATAATATGGAGATAACAACGGATTATTTTTGCATTTGCAGTTTGTGTAGTTTTCTAGTTTATTTTTTAAATCAGTCACTTTAGATGGTGATTATTGTCGAAATTGTGTAAAAAAAACTACCTATAATTAACGACGCGAGCATCTCTTGAACGAAAAGTCTTTAAAGGCTAGTTTTTTTTATGCACATTTAGAATCTCCGTCTGGTGTTATGGGCCAAGAAGTATTGTTCCCGCTACTAATTGAAGGTGTTAAGTTCAGAAAACACGACACTGATTAAATTACTTGCTGCGTCGAGTAGGCATATACATTAATTAAATAAATCTTTTTTTTTCAAAATCTTTAAGTCAATATTAAAAATATTATAATTAAAAAAAAATACTTTTGCATTTTCTCTTTGCTTCGCCTGTCGTCACCCCATTGTGTTGTGTCGTTGTCTGATGTCTGTCATACACATAGAGACACAGTCCAGCCACAGTAACACATAGACCAACAAAGTTCCACGGAGTTGCCTGCCGCTTGCCCAGCCCATACAACATCACGACGACCAGCAGTCTCTTGAATATGTTTGCTACAGAATGACTGACTACGTCCATTACCTATGATATAAACATAGTTAAAAATGATAATAGAACTTGTGCATACATTTATATTTTGTTACTTTTATCAAGTGATTAAGTACATATGAGTATATAAGCTTTAAAATGATAAGATTTAAAAAATAATAATAACTAGAGCAAAAATCATCGAACGTACAAAAACACGCTTTCTTTAAATTCACTAAATAGTTTATCACTGTTTATGTTAATTAAATAATAAACAATAAAACAATTGTTAATTTGAAAATACACCAAACTACTATTATCGAAAAAAAATGCTACATAAGACATGGGTAAAATGAAAATAACTAAAATCTGATCAGTTACAGAATTATAATATGTTGAGTCGCGTAGTTAAACTTTTTTTTAGAGTAAAACAATCATTTGGCAGAAAGGCTTTTCATTAAACTTGATTGTAGGGATTTACTTTTTTTGAAAACTATTTTAAGCATATTCATCAATTGCAATTCAAGCAGTTATTTCAAAAGTCTGTTTTTTTTATATTTTATACAATAAAATTACACAGATATTGTTACTAGTAAAATGACCAAATGCTACTAAACTTTTATAGATTTAAATCCAACAACAAACTTGTAACATTACCTTTAAGACGAGACTCGTTGAAATATACGAGTACATAACGTGGAATAGACACGAAGCTAATAATACCCCACACATAAGTGTTAAATCTACAGACGTCCATTTATATTGAAGTCTATAGCATGCAGCCATAACAATTAACAGAAGCGGACACCACAGGTATTTTGCTTTGGATTCCCGTAGGCTAACTGTTGATTCGGTAGACTCAGTTCCTTGTAGTTTCTTTAAGGTTACATTTCTAGCAGTTAAAACAATATTTGAGACGAACGCCAGGACCACGCCAGCCAAGACTGAATTGTTGGCTGCAGACAGACCTGTAATATATATATATATATATATATATATATATATATATATATATATATATATATATATATATATATATATATATATATATATATATATATATTCACATTTTACGACCATGGCTTTATAATTTGAAAAAAGAGTGCGAAATTGCAATCATAAGAAATTCAAAAATGACGTTAACTAAGTTGGACGTTCGATTTTTGTTTAGTTATTTTAGATTCGGATAGTGAACAAAGAATAACAATGAAATAGAATAATGCATTTTTTTTTTTACTTTGTGATAGTTTGAAAAAATAAAAGTAAACATTAGCTTTAGACTACAAAAAGTAATGTTCATTAATTTTTACTTTCTCGTATACAAAGTTTAGCGGAAGTATCGAAGATATCGACGTTTTACACCACCCTGAGTCGGTAAAACATAGTTGTGCAACTTTGTCTGTATGTCTGTGTGTGTGTCTGTATGTGTGTATGTATATGTGTATGTTTGTGAATAAGATAACTTGATTACCGTGACAGCGAGGCTGATAAAATTTCATATGTAAATATAATATCTAATATGAAGGCCGCATCATTTTTCAGCGATTTCCTGTAACCGGAAATGGAACTTATTCTACTTTTGGATTTCATAAAACTATAACTTGAGTACTGTTTCAGATAGATAAATAAAATTTCACATATAGCTAATAATGTGCTTCCTGTCAAATTTTGAGTAATTTCCGTTACAAACAGTGCTGACTCACCGCAGAACATCAACGATCCTAAGATAATGATCGGTATGGCTATAACTGTATATAGTCTTGGCCACTTCTTAAAGACAATCATGTCAGCTACACACATGAACACGGGCTCTGTTAGTTTGATCGTGAGAGTTGAAGCGGCCTAAACACAATCACAAAATTAAAACGATTAGTTTTTGTACCCTAGATGTGAGTTTAACTTGAACACGTGCAATAAGCACCATTAAGGTTAACTAATATACTTGCTTCAGTGTAGGCCATGCTGTAGTTGACGGCCATTGTTGCCAAAGTATGAGATCCAAGTAGAATAAGTCTGTAATTCTTTTCCTTTCCAGTTCTAATATTAAAAGTCACTATACATGCAGAACACTGAAAATTACGTAAATATGTATATACTAGAACAAAGACCCGTTAAGGGAGAAATACAACGGGCTCTAGATTGAAAGTGTTGTCTTTTTCCATAAACCAAAACAAAAAACCGAAATCACCACTTTCACTTCAAATTTAACCGTAAACGAAAAATGTAATGGAAACGGATTTTTATTCAGAATCGGCATTTTAACAGAATTTAGCCTAGATGTACTCTTAGTTACTGTACATTCATACAAAATGTAGTGAAATCCCTAAATCTTTCAACTAAGCTCATACACACGTTTCATTCAGAGTTTCTTTTCGGCAACTCTCCAGGGAGGGTGGAGGGCTATTTATATAGTACATAATATTTAAGGAGCTTGTACATTTTAGTAATTTGCTACGTCATTGGAAAATAATCATACTGGTAATGGAATTCATATTATTAGTTTTATTTGTATTATTTTATAATATGTATATTATATTAAATACTAGTACTGTTAAATAAAAACAAAACAAAGTAAAACCATTTACCTGCATGCCAGTTAAAACCAGAGCAGCGATGAACTGATATAGACCCATATCCTCTCCGCCAGCAGATTGTACCAGACGGTCCATGAAGAGTTTACCACATTGGTGGCACAGGAAGGAAGACAGAGTCCAACCAACAAACACGACCAGGGCAATGATGCACTGTAGTGGCGAGATAACCGGAATAGACATTCTGGAAACCTCTTACACTTTGTAGCTCGCCCTGTAAGTCTGTGTGCCTTCGCTGTTTCTTTCCTTCTGCAACAAAATATGCCCAGAGGTGGTGTAACTTTAAACCAAATCACTAACGAATATTGAACGAATATCGAACGCCATTTAAAATCTTTGTCGTTAATACTAATCACTCAGTTCAGAGTTTAAGTTTATTTTGTATACAAATACATTACGTAAACTTATAATATGTATTCGGACCCGAACAAGCGTATAGTCTTACATTTTTAGATAAAAAAAAGTCTAGCATTCACAAGCACTATTTTTAATAAATTGATTTTAACAACAAAAAAAATAACATCATGTAAATGTAATGCTATCATAATGTGTTTCAATGAATTTACTTCTTTTTCAAAGATCTTTAAATAGTCAGTTAGTTAATAAATATTATAAAATTACTTTACTTTGAAAACAAATCATCGTTCTAATATATGTAAATTCACAGGTTTTTAATAATCTAAGTTTTTTTGTTACTGAATTAATAATTAAGTTACATAAATGTGCTTATTAAATAGCTATGAATTTGTAAGGATGTACCAATGCACTTATGTTTACATTAAAGACTATTAATAAACTTACACTTTGCACAAATCAAATTTGCTAAGTTACCTGCGTTTTTTTTTAGTTCTGTATGTTCCTAGGGTATCTCCTTCAACCGTTAATTTCGTACAACGAATTCAGACACGCTGTATGATTTCATTGCACTGTACGTCTAAAACAAACGGTTTATCAGACAGAAAAACAATAAGTTTATGAGAGAACAATATCACTAAGACGAACGCTAAATTTATTGAACCCTATACCTAGCTGTCAAGCGATTGTTTCATAAACGTCAATCTTTATGTTACAGCTTGTTTAGACATGATCTTTATCTGTAAAGCGGGTAAATAACGATTAGCTTAAGGGCAGATGGGATATACAAATGGCGACTGCACAGCGGGCATTGACCAAGTGTCCGGGGTTTTTCGATTGTTTTTTTGTGTAAATTAAATCAATTTCGTTTATTGTTGGATGGTTTTTAAGAGCAGAATAGAATGAAATTGTAAGCAGCGTGCTACCTGCTGAGGTCGTCCTTAACACAAAAAAGAGGAAGGGGAAAAGGGGGTATACTATTGATGCAGACATTTTTATTTTTGCTTGAATAAAAAAAATAGTTTTTGGTTTTTAGCCATCGGACGTGAGTTTGATTAATTAAGTCCATAGTTTCACATAATCGATTACTTTAGACTGCACTTTGACTAAAACTATTAATATCCTAATCAGTTAATTATTATATTTAATTTAGCAGAATCTCTAAAATTAAGGTTCAATTATTACAAAAACTCAACAATTAGCCAAAGTTTTTCAGTGTTTTCTTTATGTTAACGAATTCTGGCACTTTTATTGGCTTTTTGTTTTCTTTTTCCTTTAGCATCAAGTTGAGTGTCATTTCTATGATATTATCTAACTCATTCTAAAAACTAGCCTTTTGTTTTAAACTCTTAAAAAAATGATTAAATTTGAAACTGTACTTATGAAAAAATAAAGAGACGTAAAGAGAGAAGTCATTCACTTTGAAAATATTCAATCTCGACTTGGTTATTCCTACTTTTTCACCCATTTACTTTTTACAAGCTTTTATTTAACTCACTTCCTCGTCAGTCTGTCGTCAGTCGTCAGTCTGTCTAGACGGAAACGCAGGAGTGAAAATTCGGACAGTTCTACTTGACCGACACGATTCACAGTTGGCACGTGGGTCAAGACATGAAGACAATGCAATCTGAAACTAAATTTGACTTAATTGGATGCCTAATTGATTTTTTATGAATTAATTAAAATTTGGACCGAATTAGTAGGCATGTCTAGCCAACCACACCATACGCGTCATCAATAGCTGCGCCATCACGACCACGTAATGGCTGCGTTCAAAAACCATTGCGCGCCTACTGAACGTGATATTCAGTAGGCGCGCAATGGTTTTTAGTCATGTAACTCTATTGTAGATAAAACATGTAAAGTACTGAAAAAAAAATTCATAAAAAAACGTTTTAATAACAAGCTTTTATGTAATGATGCACTAAAAAGTAGAAAATAAATTATAGACTACTATTTAAATAACTATAAAGAAAAGCGTGGGTGTCTTCCTTAACATTAGTAAAGGTATCCAATAGATACTAAAGTGACCCACGCTTTTCTTTATAGTTATTTAAATAGTAGTCTATAATTTATTTTCTACTTTTTAGTGCATCATTACATAAAAGCTTGTTATTAAAACGTTTTTTTATGAATTTTTTTCGTTCTTTAATCATACTTAGAAAAAAACACATTTTAAATAGTCCTCATTTCATAAGCAACACTTACTAAAGAATTTTATTGCCATATTAGGTGGAAAATGGCTTCACTCCAAAATTGTTTTGTACTGTAAATTAAATAAACAAACATGAACCTAACGTATTAAATAATTTAACCGATACATCACTTTATTGCTTGTGTAGTTGATAGCGACCTAGAAAATGTATCTTCAACGATCAATAAAAAATTTAGACAACTGGGAGTTAGCGCAAGGACCACAATATCAAAACCTCACGGCTTTGTATTTATAATTATGACGTAGACGGGATTCGGCTGTGAGGTTAGCTGTTTGAATTGACGATTTTATTTACTTTTATGGACTTTCATTGCTGTTTGGCAAGATGATTGACGTGTTACAAGCTAGATTTTATTGGACTTTTAAAAACTATATCAGGCAGCTAAAACTCAGGTAGAAATGTGTGTTTATATTGATGTTTTTTAAACGTATTCTAAGGTTTGCTTAAGTTAAGGTTGAAATAAAATATCAGACTATATTTGGTTATGGTTGTTCAGATGGTGTTTTTATTAATCGTTTTTATACTAATTAGTATCCGGCATTCAAACTAATGTAACAGTTGACGTCTGGTTAATATTAGGTTTGACTGTACTGTTCTGTTAGAGGATCTTTTCGTTTTAATCGATGCAAGAGTGCAATTTTGGTCCAGGTTTAGATTTGATTACATTTACTGATATGTATACCCAAAAAAACAACTGCTTTAATAGTTAATAGTTTAATCTAATTTCACTCTCTCTCTCTCTCTCTCTCTCTCTCTCTCTCTCTCTCTCTCTCTCTCTATATATATATATATATATATATATATATATATATATATATATATATATCGATATATATATATCGATATATATAAAAGCAAAGTGGGTGATTTTTGTTTTGTTTGTTTGTTAAGCATACCTATCAGATTAGGTACTTGCAGTTAAGTTGTAGGGACATTGCTCTTGCCAAAGTTTTTCTGTTCACTCTCTTTTTACGGGAAAATTAGAGTTATTTCAGTAATCGAGTTTGAAGTGACAAAGAGCTGAACTAGAATGACAGCGGCTTAAATAAACTATACATTTTTAAAAAGTGCTGCAATTAGATCGACCACTTGATGATGCGATAAAAAATTGATGTTTGATAAGGAGATAGCTATGGTGACGTCGTAGGTGCTGCAAAAATATTTGGTTTACCTTTGTGACGGGAGACATATGTGTGGGGGTTGATAGGCTATAGATAAGAAAGGTTACTATAGTCTTTAAGTGAATCAAATCCGGACGGTTTCCGGCGGCCCGACAGGGGGCTGTTTAGCCCCCCAGGCCTTCCCTGTCTTCACTATAGTGCCTTCGTTCGTTTAATTGAGTGCAAAAGAATATGAATAAGTTGGGGTACTCTAGTCGTCTACTAAGCTGAAAAAACGCGGTTCTGTTGGCGCCCCAGCCTAGTGCGATTTGACACTCTAAGCTCGACTGTAAGTATTTTGCTTTTATGTTTGCATTTGTGTCTACTTTGTGTTTTGGTTGGGTTTGCGTTTGTGTTTGGGTTTGTGTTTGCGATGAATTTGGTTTGGTTGGGTTTGCTTTTTTTGTTTGTGTTTTTGTTTGTGTTTTCTTTGTGTTTTTGTTTGCTTTTGTGATTGGGTTTGTGTTTGCGTTTGTGTTTGTGTTTTCGTTTGTGTTTGTATTTGTGTTTTTGTGTTATGTTTGAGTTTTTCTTTTATTGTGTTTTAGTTTAGTTTGGATGTAGTTAGGGTTGGCAATGCCGGGTATATGCTGATTACCTAACACAGATATCATGTTCCTTTAGAGATAGGTTTTTCACAGGGGCCAGTGTAGGGCCTGGCCGGAACGGCTAATATATATATATATATATATATATATATATATATATATATATATATATATATATATATATATATATATATATATATTTAAAGAAAATGATCATTATACTTAATTGGTCAATTAGCTGTGATTGTTCAGATTTTCTAATTTTTAAAAACTAAAATAGATTTAATATTCAACAATACTAGTTAGGTAAAACTGGAGATTTCAATGTCATTGACATACATATCACTTGGACCAATCTCAGGAAGTGTATCGTTATATTTAGCCAACAGAAGCAGAGCTTCCTGCAGAGCGTTGGTACCGTTTGTGACTAGAACTGTGTTCTCTAGACCCTCTGTCCAGGTTTGATCAAAAGACGAGAGTTTATAAAACGGCGGGTTGTCAATCAGCACATGCGGGATGTCCATTAGCACAGACAGGATGTGGCCATGGAGACGGTCAGTTATGACGATTCGTCCACGCTGTAAAAAGTTGAACCCTGTTTGAGCTATGTTGAATGCGTTGTCTAGGTCCGTTATACCTTTGTTTGAAGGCCATTCACCTCTCCAATCTAATACGTGAATTGAAATCCCACTGATGGGCAGGGGTGGTAACTCGTAGTTAGGAGACTCGTTGTCTTTTCTTCTTAGCCAAACGATATCGAAGTACGGAGGCAACATTCGTGGGACGTGTCCAATACCAAAAGCCATGTCTGGAGCTAAGAACATTTTTACACCTTTAAAGTTTTCTTTTGCAATAGCAAGAGACTGCTTATCTCGTATGAACATGGATAAATTGGTTCTGTTTGAGTACACCTGTCTGCAAAACTCTAAATGGCTTTTGTAGTTCTTGTATAGCCAAATACTCTGAGATAGAAGAATTATTTTATGTTCGGGGAAAGTGTTTAGAATTTGTTCCCGCAATAAATCAAATTTATAATAGCCTACAAGATTACCCCCGCCATGTAATAAAATAACAATATCGTTGACTGGGTACTTTTTACTTATGGCAACTGCTCTTTGTAAATATTTATCCTGAGCGCATTTTTCGGTTTCACAATAAAATAAAATTCTTTTCTGAAGTTTTTCGATAATCATCACCTCGCCCACTGTTATCGCAGAATCACCTTTGTTTTCGTGACGTGGAATATCCATTAACATAACATACGGGGCTTGGCCAATACTATTACTCAGCAAGTTAATGAGAATTCTTTGACTTTCTTCAATAATTTGGTTGGTTTGTGTCAATGTTTTTGCAAGCAGGTTGGTGCGGAATGAGTTTTCAAAATAATTCATTGGTGGTAAATCGGCAACTTTTTCGTTCATTCTTGTCTGTGTCGATAGATTGAAATGTTCGTGAGCGTTTATTTTTTCCTTTATATATGTCATCCCTGGGACGCCTTTATTATAATGTATCATTAAAGTTGAACTGCCTACGATGCATGAAACTATAAAGACAGTCACTGTTATTGCTGAAAGAAAGATAAATGAAAATAAGTGACAAATAAAAGGCAGACTTTTCAATTTTTGAAAGCACTCTGGCTAATTCAGTTTGGTTAGATCAAATGGTTTTTCAATAAGTGAATGAAGATAAAGAGACAAATGAGAGAAAGGGAAACTATCCAGGCTCAAATTTTTAAGGCAATTTATTTAGATTAAATTACGTCGTACATGTTTATTAAATTTGTTATTTATATTGTTTGATCCAGTATATTTTCTATATTTTCTATTAATAATTAAAACTTTAAAAAATGTTGATTTTGAAGCGCAGAAAAATAAATATAGGCCAAAAATTTGGAATTAACTAAATCATTTTCTTTTGAAATTATGTTTCGTTACACATTTGCTTGTCTATTTTAATTTAAATAACTGACGATGCAAATTACATGTGTAAGGTAATAAAAACGTGTAGTAAAAAAGAAGGAAAATGATGTGCTGTTAATAATAGAGTGTAACTGGCTTTGTAAACAAGTTCGTCAACGTAGATAATAACAAAATATTTACCTCTATATTTTCTCTTTTTGTCGCCTGTCGTCACCCCACTGTGTAGTGTATTTGTCTGATGTCTGTCATACACATAGAGACACAGTCCAGCCACAGTAACACATAGACCAACAAAGTTCCATGGAGTTGCCTGTCGCTTGCCCAGCCCATACAACATCACCACGACCAGCAGCCTCTTGAATATGTTTGCTATTGAATGAATGACTACGTCCATCACCTATGTTATAAAGACCATCAAGTTAAAAAGAAAGCAAGTTATGTAGCCAAAGCAATTACTATATTTTCATAACATTCTCAAACAAGATCAGTATAAATTTTCAAATTGCCTGCGAGTAAGTGTTCCTATTAATAAAAAAATGAATGTTAAGGATATACTGAAGCGATACCCCATTTAAGTGTTGCACTCAGAACTTTTTCTCCATATGGGTGAATGTTAGAGGACGGGGTGGAGTTTAAAACACTAGTGAGGGGGAAGAGCGCACTTAAATATATGAGGAGGCGAACTATGGTAAATTATATATTTTTTATATAAATAATATTTTCATCCAGTTTAAGAAGCGGGCAGTTGATGTGCTACGGTAAGGTGAGGGGGACAGTTACTTAATAGAATCTCCGCTCCATTTAGACTATAACGGAAAGTTTGGAAGCGGGGATGACGATTATTGGTCAAACGATCACCTCTACTTTTGATCTGGCATCTAGTCTGGTCTGGAATCGCTAATAAACGATGGACATATACAAAAGCTCTTCAGGAAAAGAGCTTTCGATAAAGAAGCTTTTATCAAGGCGGAAAACGAGGATCGTTGCTTACACGCACTTCTTCCAGCCGCGTTTGTTTACCGAGTGTGAGTTAGGGATCCATTAAAGTTGGGAGATCTCAAGACCTCTAGTCCGGGATCCGAGCTTGAGGCTTTCGTTTTAGCAGTCGTAATTTCTTCCATTCGATCACCCCGTACCTAATTATGCGTTTAATCAAACTAAAACCATAATAATTACCTTCAATGCAAGATTCGTTGAAATATACGTGTACATGACATGGGTTAGACATGAACCTAACAAAAACCCACTCATGTGTGTCCAATCTATTGCCGTCTTAGCTTTTATTGTATAGATTACAGCTACAGCAACAATATAAAGTAGCCACCACACATATTTAGCTTTGGATTGCCGGAGACAAACTGCCGAGTGTGTAGAATCTGGTCCTTGAAGTTTCTTCAGTGTCACGTTTCTGGAAGCCAGAGCAATATTTGAGATAAACGCCAGAAATACGCCAACAAAAACTGAATTGTTGGCTGTAGAGAGACCTGTAAAATATGCATTTTTACCAAATTACCCTCAAGACTTGAGCTTCAAATTTCGATGGGAGAGCATATAATCGAAAAGACAAAAAGTTATTTACAATAAGGAAATATGTCTAATTATATTATTTACTTACCTTAAATAAAAATATAATTTACAAAACAACACGCAGATCCACAAAATTAGATTTAATTCATTCATAACTTTTTTCAAGCATTCAAAATAAACAAAGTAAACTGCTCAGTTGAAATTCAAATAATAGTCCTGAATACTTTAGATAGTTTGAAACCTTTCAAATCAAACACCGAGGTTAAGTTTGTGTTTGTATAGTATTTGTATCCATTGTTTTTTGTTTTTGTTTTTTCAGATAAAACGCATTTGACTTCTACATAAACTATTTGATTTTATTACAAAAACAGTTTTGTCTTACCACAGAACATCAAAGATCCCAAGATCATCATTGGCATGGATACAACAACACGAAGTCCTGGCCCCCTTTCGAAGACAAGCACTTCAGCAAAACACATAAACACAGGCTCTGTTAGTTTGATCGACAGGGTGATAGCGGCCTAAACGTAATGGGAATAAAAATTGTAATTTCTATGTAGTAGATCTGAATGTGATATTGAATTGTGTGTATATAAATAAAAAAATTCAGTTAAAATACTTGCTTCAGTGTAAGCCATGCTGTAGTTGACGGCCATAGTTGCCAAAGTATGAGATCCAAGTAGAATCAAAGAATAATTTGTTTTGTTCCAAGATTTTATATTAAACGTCGCTATACTCGATAAACACTGAAAGTAAAAACGTATTGTGTGTGTATATATATATATATATATATATATATATATATATATATATGTTACGGTCAAAGCCCGAAGTGCGGCCAATGCTAGGATTGGCCGGCCAATCCGCGCATTGGCCGGCTCTCTTGGCCAAAGCCCGAAGAACTCAGCACTAAGATCGTATTTTGTACATTGGCCGGCCAATGCGCGCACTGGCCGGGACGTACTGGCCAAAGTCCGAAGTGCTTGTATAGCATTCTATATGCAAGGCGACATGGACCAAAAGGGCCGTCAGACCATGAGACAGACATAGCAGATGGCTGTCAAAAGAAAAAAATGTAAATCCATGTTAGTTTCCATATATGGGCGCTCGATAAAATAATTACTGAGGAAGAACTTGAGAACATTGAACATGAAATAGAGGTTGCCATAAATGCAACGACATCCTCAGCTAACACATCTACTGCCGTGGCGGAACGCCCAGACCAGTTGCGTGACAATAATGTGGCCAACAGATTCTATATAGTTTGTGAAAAACATTGTAGTGCAGCTCATTCTTTTGGATCCTGTGGCAACGATGTCCATGCTATTTGTGGAATACCCAATGAAGCAGACGAAGGGTACGGAGGGAGCATTACCTGCAGATTGTGTCACATCAAACACAGGTCAGCAGCTCATACTGGCTTGCAAACTCAAGGTGCTAAGATGCTTAAAACATCAAATACAAAATTTAAAGATGGTGAAGTGGATGAAAATCTACGCATTCGTTTTCCAGATGTTGACAGAGGTCACGGTGATTCGCGAAGCGTGATTGCAGTTGTCATGAGCGTCGAGGGCGGTTTCTACAAATTAGGAACGGAACATGGTGTTCTAAAACAACTGTATGCTAGAAGTGAGTTTTAAATTCTTCACGAAAAACTGCTCTTATTGTCGTCAGTTGGCACTAAGGAAAAATCACTACGAACCATCGCATCTTCACAATCATTGACTGGGGGCCAAGGTTACACTCCCTGCAATTGCACAACTAACTGCACAACAGATCGCTGCAAGTGTAAAAATAACAAGCTGTTATGTAATTCTAAATGCCATAAAAGTTCAACTTGTTGTAACAAATGATGATATTGATAGATTGAGACTATAGTACAATAAAAAATTTAAATGTTTCTGTCATTTACTTTAATTAATAATCAATAAAGACTTAATTTCATGATCCTTACGGCATTAAAAAAAAACCAAAATCTGCTCATGATCTTCTAATTTGGACTTTGGCCGGTCATCCCTTGCCAGATGATCTTCTAATTAAGACTTTGGCCGGTCCACCATGGCTAGTCTGCGGATTGGCCGGCCAAAGGCCGAAATCAAGCAAAGTTTCGGACTTTGACCGACCTATGGGAGGCGATATTGGCCAATGCGCGGATTGGCCGGCCAATCCTAGCATTGGCCGACTTCGGGCTTTGACCGTAATATATATATATGTTACGGTCAAAGCCCAAAGTCGGCCAATGCTAGGATTGGCCGGCCAATCCGCGCATTGGCCAATATCGCCTCCCATAGGTCGGTCAAAGTCCGAAACGTTGCTTGATTTCGGCCTTTGGCCGGCCAATCCGCAGACTGGCCATGGTGGACCGGCCAAAGTCTTAATTAGAAGATCATCTGGCTAGGGGCGACCGACCAAAGTCCGAATTAGAAGATCATGAGCAA